TGGAGCCAGGAAAGTTATAGGGAGAACCCCTGACTGTGCCTTCCACATCAATCTGCCGGCTTCCACGACTCCTCCGCGTCAGGAGACGGCAAGGTGGTGACATGGAATGCCAGCTGGTTCCTGTCCATGTTCGAGTCGTGGCCTGCCTTTGCGCTATGCCATGGCTACAGGTGTGTACGGTCATTTGCAAGAGTCCATCAGGGTTTCAAGCAGATGCTCTGCGCTCTTCGTGTCAGATTTCCATTCAAGCTACAATGAGAAGTCCATGCTTCGACATCGGATCTGCAGAATGATAGCCATTCTTGCAAGAACCCGAGATTTCGAAGCCGAGGTTCCTCCATGGCGAAACCTGCGGCCCCGGAGAAAGACCGGGCTATAACTCACAAGCCTGCGACATGGTAAAAGCGGAAAGGCATCTGTGAGTTTTCTCATGCGGGTGATCGGTACATTCGTTGTGTTTTTTTGACGGGGGTGGAGTGAAGTGCAGCTTTGCATCCAGGTGATCCTCATGGACTCATGGATGTCATGGGTCATAATTAGGCAAGTCAATTTCGTGTAACCTCCCCTTATCTTTCGAGATCTTCCATCCCATTGAGCCCATCGGCGTGAGGCCTTGTTGACAGTGCAGGCCCGTTGGGACAGGCTGGATCCAGAGGAAACTATCTCCGTGTGGCCTAAACACTTGCGTATACATTGCCCCGTTACGGTTTCGGGTTTAGGGTTTAGGGTTTAGGGTTCAAGTAAGCCGGGACTCTCGAAAACGCTGCTGCCACGACAATCTTCGAGGCTCCGTAGGGTTTGGGGACGTTTGGACCTGAACTCATCGGATCACCTGCCCATCAGATTTCAGATACCCCATCGTCTCAGAGTCTCAAGAGAACCTGCAACCCTAAGGCCCGAGTCCGGGGCAAAAGAACTCGAGCCCCCGAGTCAAAACTCCGCAGGACTTCCTTGTCAGCAGGACAGCACAGGGGAACCGCCCCTTCAGTTGCACTCTAAACCTTTGATTGGGGATTGGGGACGTTCAGGCTTGAGATGTGTGAATGTTTACCGGGCTGTGTTTGCAACCATGTCCAAACTTGTGGCGCCGGCACAGCCACCTGAATACTGTGCAATGTTGCATGTAGCCATTCAGGTAAGCAGCCTTCAATTTGCAATGTTGCCAGATGTAGTGTCTGCTTCTGAATATGTTTGCGCCCATCGTTGTAGCCGCCGGTAAAGCAGCTCCGATGCGATGCCACCAAGGATAGAGTTCGTTGTGATGCGGATGCTGCTCGGAGTGCGTTCAACTTCCGGCACGAGCAAGCCCTTCCCAATTTCGGGAATTTGCCACGATGCAAAGCGCAGATGGAAGAATACTTGCGCAAGAGCGTATAATACTGACTTGCTGAGAACTGGACTGGCAGCTGTCCGGGACAGAAACAAAATAGCAGCGGTTCAGGTTCAATGCGCTCAGAGTCTTGAGGCTTACAGGTTTGAGGGTTTTTCACTTAACCATCCCAGATACTCTCCACTCCTCACCCGAAGGAGGAGTGAGGATTCAACGCGGTGCTACCTCCATCCGTAATCCCAAAGGGTCCAAGTACCACTACAGCAGGTACTTAGTAGGTATTTGGGCCCCCCAAATATAGATTACATTAATACTTGGACCCTTTGGGAATTGCTTGAATCCCGAAACTTGACCTTCAGACCCTTTCCTCCAAGATGAGGCACCCTTGGAAGTACATACCAAGCTACCCCTTTTTTCCTTCCGCCAAGCACGAGCGGAGTCCGAGGTTAACTGTCAACATGCTCGGCAACCACTTCTTGACGCTCCTGCGGATTTGCCCGATCATCCCGGCCCCTGGGCATCTGATTTTGCATGTCTGTGTGTGTGTGTGTGTGTGTTTGTGTGTTTGTTTCTGTTGGTGCTTGTACATACTGTTCTTTGCACGCTATCTGGGCAGGTACGGCCTTGAGGTATGGAACACTAGTCAGGAAGTTCGGAGGCCCAATCAGGCCCAATCCCCGATTCCCAGACCCGCGACTCCAGACCATCTGAGGTCCGAACCCAGGTCTCTGATGAGTGCTACCCCAGCTAGAACACATGAGTCGACTCATAAGTCCATGAAGCCTCAGGAGAGATACCCTATAAACCCTAAACCCCAAACCCGAAGCCCCAAACCCTAAACCCTACACCCCAAACCCTAAACCCTAAACCCCAAGCCCTAAACCCCAAACCCTAAACCCTACACCCTGAACCCGGACACCCTGATCTCGAGGTCTTCGGCACCATGTACGCCGCCTTGACCTTCCGGGACAATCCCATGGTCGCGCAGGCCTTGAGCCTCATTTCCATGGCGCCTTCCGGCTGACATGCGAAATATTACAAGTAGGATGGTAGTAGATGTATGGGTTTAGAGTTTTGGGCTTAGGGGTTATAGGGTTTAGGGTTTGGGATGGTGATAGGGCCTAAGAGGGGTTAGAGGTAGGCCCGGTTTAAGATGTGGATACAGACAAAGACCAGTCTAGGTTCGCTTCGGGCTAAAGAATTTGACTGATATCTGCAGCCTTCTCCAGATTTGTGGTGGACGGCTTAGGGCTTGCAATGGTTCGGAAAGTTTGGAGCTTTAGTTTCAGATCCCGTGTCAGCTTTAGATTTATATAGATTCGGTGTCTGATATTTGCTTTGGGTTTACTCCTTGTCGTTCCGCGTCACGGAAAACAGGCTCCCTATCACCATAGGATTCTTGTTTTCCATGGAGGCTCAGACCGCTAGTCTTGACTACTGCTGCTGAACGGATTCAGAGTCCGCCATGAGTAGGAAGGTGCACGGGTCCTCGTGCGATGTTGCGGTATGGTTTCATAAGCTATCGATGAGGATGAACTGTACATTCGAAGGCCCTTTTAGAGATATGGTCGTCTGCTGGCTTTACTACGATCCCCTCGAACGTCCGTTCCTCCTGTCAGACCACGTTTGGAACATGTGCAATGATAGGCTTTCAAACTCCATCGATGAAGGTTTAGCTATGCATGTAGGCTCATGCACCAGTGATTGTCAGCCAAATCTGTTTATGGCAGTTTCGGAAATCAAGGGCGAACCTGCTGCACGGTCAAGAAGCCTCTGTATGGCTGAGGCAGCGGGCTGCCAGGGTGCCCTCCGTTTCGATGGACATGCTGCAGTGGGGATGTCGTCGGGCCGCAAGTTTCTGGAGCTTGGGAAATGTGGTGTGCAAATCATATGCTGTTGGTACAGTTACTGCCAATGGCAGAAGTCCTCACCATTCCTGCGCAATGATGTTCTCCGTCTCTCTCTCTCTCTCTGTATCTTTGGCTCTGCCTCCCTTTGCCTCTTTCTCGGGTGCACGCGTGTGTGCGGCCCGGTACGGCCCCTGCTGCAGATTCCTGGATGTCGGTCCTCGCACATCATTGGCCGCGCTTGCTCCACGTTGCCCTTGGGGACATGGGCAACATGCTCGCTCAGGTTCCATGGGCTTCAAGATTTGTTTCGGTCAGTTCTAGGGCCTTCTGGGGCACTCGGAAGATATAGGCGAGTTGAATAGGGCAACGAAGTGGCAGCTTTTTCCTCTCGGTCTTCAGCCCCCCGGTGAGAGCGCCCTTGGAAGCTGCATGATCCTGCGACTTGCACCGGGAAGGTAGGACTAGCTGAAGCCTTAAGCAACCAAAGTCCTCAGGCGGTTCCTGGATGCGCCACCAGCCTGCACTGGAAATCTGAAGGAGGTTCAGGTGGACAGTAGTTGCAGTAGTGGTGGCAGGTATTGCGCAATCATGGCAGTCAGATCGTGACATGCACGAACCTGAACTTTGAATGCATAGAGAAGGCAGCTAAGGCGGTACTGTTAGTGCTTCGCATTCGCTGACCATCGCTTAAGGCTTGCTGGCAAACTGAAGACGTAGCCAGGGCCAGACAGTGAGGTTTCAGGTTCCATGTAGCTTCAGGTCCGGGTTGCGGGTCAGCCAGTGATTTATACCATTGCATTGGAACTCTTACGCGGATTGAGCTTCGTGCTTCAGGCTGGAAGTTTGCTGTATTGCACATACCCGACAAGCGAAACCCCGACGGAGTGTTGACAGGCATCTACTTATCCAGGAATCAAGGGAAGGGAAGACATGAGCCGACGCATTGCGACATCCCACATGGTGCTGCTGTTCCTGAGTGGGGGTTTCCGAAAATAGGCACCCTAAATAGTAGGATCCTAATATAAGGACCCCTAAATCACTTACTCCCTATTTTCGGAAACTCCCGAATGGCAGTCAGGACCCTAGCCGGGCCGCATACATCCACTTCTTCCACATTTGGACGCACGCGGACCCGACGACTCCGCTGATTGACCAGGCAGGGTTCGAGCGGCGAGGCATAAACTGCGGGACGGTGCTTCGGATTCTATAATCCCTAAACCTCCAGGTACCTATACTATATAGGGCCTTAGGGGCTCTAGTAGGTAACTGGGGGGGTTAGGGAATGACAGCTAAACTCGCAGGTTCTGACTTAGGCTTCGATTTTGCAGAACCCCTTCACTGGACGACTTTGATAGTAGCCATCGTGTATCGTCAGAAGACACCGAAAGAAGATGTCGGCGAGGTGTGCGGAGCCAACCTCGGGATTGTACCATATGCCGCCCGGCAACATCCATCACGGCCGTGGTGAGATGAATTCATTCATAAATTGGCACTTCTTGATTCTCCTTGTCTTGTTAGTTGGGCGTGCCCGCCTTCTCATGGATTTCAATACCAGCGTCACCTGCCAGGAAGCCGACAGTTTCCGATATGTACATTGCGAACATATATACTTACTCTCCGAAGCAGCACACAGGTCTCCACCGAAGCAGGAACAGAGTTGCAATCCGAAGAGCTACGAGCATCCCCCCTCTTCACTTGGAAGACCCCATTTCCTCATATCCCCAACATCCGACCAACGAAAAGCTAAAGAGCCAGAATCCCACCCAGAACCCTGCTGTCAAGTTTGCAGAAAAGCTTGTGGAGCTCCCTGTTCATTTCAGGCGAAAGCTTTGCAGGATCCCTGGCAGCGCGCACTTCAAAGCCCCTTCGCGTCGAGGCGCCGCAATCCGGGGTTCCCTGCACTGCATCGGAGATCCCAGGCACAAACAGATGTGTTCAGGCTTTCATTCATTCATTCAGCTGTTTATTTTGCCACGCTAACCGCTGACGGTGTAGCTGGCTCGTCATCGCATGACAGCGGTTCTTGTAGCACGACAAGTGCTGGAAGAGACTATGTTGCTCTTTCTGCAGAGCCCTGCAACAAACCCACGCGGGGCACTATAGTCCACAAAACATGGAGCCAGACACGCCGGTGGGCTTAGTTGTCGACATCAGAGTAGATCCTTAAACACAACATTTTGAATCCTCCAAGCCTTTAGCCCTAACTCAGTTGATCCTGTAAGGCCCTGAATGTACCCTGAATGGCCCTAAAATCTTGCTAAATTCTTGAACCCGTGAAAGGCCACGCCTGCTTCTCGTCGATCGGTGGATCGGTGCGCACTGGGCAGCTTGGCGTGCCGAGTCAGTCGGTGCGATGTGCGGAGCACAGTCATATAGACACAGAGCAGAGCATGTGGGGCCGAAGAACCGGAGCACGAGAGTAGACCAGAAGCAAGCTTGACACCCGAAATCACCCAAGCAAAGTGGATCAATGTCAGCCCGACGGTGCTTCCGTCAAGAACTGGAGGGAAGACCTAGAAGAATCGTGTACCAGCATTTTCAGCCTGAAGTTTGCAAGACAGGTACAGAGACCAGAGACCTCAATAGACTTGCGGACTTCGAAGCAGGCCGATATGGAAGATGAGCTAAGCTCACGCGTGGCCACGGGCTACGGCGTGGATTCCTCGCTGCTGGATTTGCTGACACTTGCCCGGGTTTTACACTGACTGGAAAACGTGTTAGAACAGGTCTGTGTCCTTGTATGCGGTGTCGTGTTGCAACAATCGTTGCACGTGCAAGAGATTTGGGCGGAGCAGCTTTTCTCTGCACCTGTGAAGGAATGCACCCTCCTCTTGCAGCATTGTCCGGGATCCTGCTACACGGCCTGCAAATACGGCTGCCGATGTAATTCCAGAGAGACATGAGCAGTGCTTTCCTGAAAGGAGACGAACAAGCGAGCACTGGGGAAATTATTCTTGCTTTGGCATGTCGAGTGCCTAGTGCCATGAATGCCAAGAAACATCATCGCGGAATCATCACTTGCATTGCCGCAAAAAGTGACCAACAGCACTCTCCATTCGCAGCTGCGTCTGGAGCTTCGATCACTCTCTCTTTTCAAGCTGACAGTGATGACTGATATGGGCCTTTATTATTGATGGCGAGGGTGATGTTGATGATGTTGGTGGTGATGACGATGGTCCTGATGAGGACGATGATGAGGAGAGCATATTATCTGTCAGTCGTATTCGCAGAGGCATTACTGCTAGCACCGACGCCACATCAGCTGTTTGGTTCAGAAAGTATAAGCTACCCTGAATGTTGCTATTCTCGGTAGGCATGATCCGCCGTGGGCACTGCAGAAGTGCAAGCAGAGCCCAGGCACATGCCTGCTGTCTCCAGGGCCACCGGGCTCTGGCGAGCCTTGGAAGCCGAGAGGACTGTGCCTCGGCAGCATGGGGGGTGATTGTGATTGACTGCAAGTGTTCATATGGGGGTTTCCGAAAATAGGGGGTACCTTATTTTGGGGTCCTTATAATAAGGATCCTATTATTTAGGGTACTATATTTGTGTCCCCTATTTTCGGAAACCCCCATATCATCCTTACCGTTGCTGTCATGGCTACCGAGTACACAACGAAATTTACCTTTGCTATTGCTTGTTTCGGTGCGGATGCTATTGCTTCATCCAACTCACCATGTATTGTTGCTCCGCTTGATATCCCAAGGGAACGGACGGCAAAAATATTGCAAAGCTATGCAAAGCTCCTCTTTGCACATCTTGCTGCGATCTCAACTGGACCTTTTGTGGGGAGCGAGCCCTTGCTGTGGATTCCAGCACGAGCAGTCCAGCACGAGCAGCCCAGCAACGTCATGCGCTAGGCAGGATATCCGGACATCGGTGCCTCCTGAATCCTCCAGCACAGTTGCTTTCAACCTTCAACAGGCAACCGATGCCCTTCGAACACAGCTTGTGAAAGAGCCTCGGGTAGGATGAGGTCAAGCAAAGTTTGTCGCAGCCGTAATGCAAAGGAATGCTTCCTGCATGCAGCACCCAGTAAGGCCTTTCAACGACATGGCACTGGCTTTAGTTAGTTGGCCCTCAATACAGCTTTGTCCGGGACTTATTCAGGATTTTGGATTCCTTGGGCAGTCCTCTACAATGCGCAAAACATCGGCCGGATTTGTCTTTTGTAGCTTCCTTTCTGCAAATGGTCAGCCTTAACTGAGTAGAGGACAACATGAATAGGAGAAAACTCATTTTAGCAGGTCTCAGCCTTGGTCGGTTGTGGGGGCCAGTGTGAGATGATGTGAAAAGATGATGTGAACAGTCTTCAAAATGAAAGGTGTTTAGTCTTAGATTACTTGGTAGTTATCTCGAACTGACCGGGGTTTGATTTCGAGGTTTTGCCCCATAGTCATCTCCGACTATTGTGCTAGTGCTCTGTACTGCTGGACGACCACTGTATTAGTACTGTACTAACTACTACTGTACTACAACTGCACCTACTACAGTACTACTACTGCATTACTACTGTACCACTGTACCACGACTACTACTACTACTACTACTGCTGCTGCTGCTGCTGCTGCTGCTGCTACTGCTACTACTACTACGACGAATACTACTACTACTACTACTA